CTATTCTTCTATATAAATGCGCCAGATAAAGCGAGAAAATCAATCGGAATAGAATTGCAGACAGACAGAGACGGACAATTGAATCAAGCGCGGTAGGAAGTAAGTACGTGAATCGTTCGTTGTGAATTATAGCGTGTGTTTAAGTTAAATTTATTGTGGAAATTAAGTGTATTGCAAAGTTGTATTGAGAAAGAATAAACTAGTTTTATTTAAGAAAGGACTTGTATCGCTGAAGTTTTCCGGAAGGAATTTTTACGGGAAATTAACAAACGACTAGAGACGTAACAATTCCTTATTTACCGAAACGTTGAAACAGTCCTTACTTTTTACTTATACAGCCCCTTTTCCAATGTTGACTAGTTCCTGAACATAGTCGGGTTTATATTCGTTTTACTAGAAACTCCTAGTTAAATCGGTAGCAATGGCTTTTTTTTCTTCGCGCATTTTGAAGGCTCAGTGATCGTTGTAGAAATTATGTACTTACTGGATGACTGTTTATAGGCTCTGTCAAATCACAAGTTCTAATCTCAACATTTTTCGCTTTCCTTTTTCTTTCTTGAAATGCCCTTCATTAATTTTTTCTTCTTCCAGACCAATTGCCACGAGTCCAAACGACTGTAAACATACTTCCAGAGTATCAGGGTTTTCTTTTAGATATCTCGGCAGTAATACTCTCCCCGGTGGCTGAACGGCAAGTTTGAGGGCTTATCACAGACAGCCCATTATGCAACAAACGAACAAATCGGCTTTAATTTCAATGCGTGTTTTCGTTTCACCAGTTTTTCTTCTCGTAAAGCTAATTTATTAACCCATTATTTCTTTATTTACAAGAAATTCAGAGCAGGTTCACTTATTGGTTATTTATATAGTATTTTCAATGTCGATATAATGCAGGTATTATATGCATTGCTAAAAATTTGTACTAAAAGTGCACCAGTCTTTTATACCCCTCAATTTACGCCATTTTTCTTTTGAACATGTACTTATTATGTGATCATTCTCCACAAATCATGTCGTGCCATCTATACTGACGTAGTTCTACTATTCTAGAACCAACCCCACTTTCGAGAATTGGCAGTTACACATCAGATACACTGGCCCATTAGTGGGGAAGAAGGGTGGTAAGTGTGTGAGAAGAGGTAAGTACCTATCGGAAATACATTTTTAGTGTAAGAAAATGTTAACTTCTCAAACGGTCTTACCTCCTCTCACCCAGAGCTAGAATCCCACATTGCATAGGTGGTGGGGTCGGTAAAGGCGCAAAAGTAACCAAGGAAGCAGAAAGTGACCTCTCCGGGAGCACGGTGTGCAAAATCATGAAGGGAAAGCACACCCGAGGTATATAGCACCACACATGGAACAGGTATGCTCTTCACCCAGTAATAAAAATCAGAACACAATACAGGCGGAACTGAACTGGCAGCCACCAGTTTATTAAGTAAGAGACAACTGGCTCACATAAGTATGTGTCAAGGGCAATGCCTTGGATAACATCAGAGCGAAACAAGTGTAGTCTGCTCGGGCAAAATTATCTAGGGCTACTTGTGGTGGGCCCATTACAGGTACCGAAACCACAGACTTACCTCTGAGCCACTGGGGGGGGGGGGGGTGGGGTATCGTATTATTATTATTTATTTTCTTACTAACGTAACGTAACTACTACCACTAAAACAAAGTAACTACTACTTATTA